CCCAGGCAGCCTGGCGGGGCTGAGTGAGGGCGGGACAGGGAAGGCGTGTGGGGAGGGACAGGGTAGGCGTGTGGGGAGACTCGTCCTATAGTTCGCGGGCCACACTCTCCACTTCACCAGCTCCACTGAGCACAGGCTGGCTGCTCCTACAGGAGAGCTGGCCTCGGTCACGTCAGGATGTCTGGCACCACCAGCCTGGCCTGCTGGTCCATCAGGAGCCCACCACTCCTAAGCACCGCCCTGGGGGCCATCCCACTCCTTTGGGCAGCTCTCCAGGGACCCTCACCTCTCAGATGTGGGGTACCCCCGTCAGACCTCTTCCTGTTCCCTAAAGCCTGACGGGCCTTCTAGGAAACATGTCCGCCTGTGCCGCCAGCCGGGTGCAAGTCCTCCCCACGCCATAAGAGAATCTCTTCTTAGAAGGAACTTCAAAAGCCCCCCTTGAAGGGTCTCAGTGGGGAGCCGGCAGGAGGACGAGGGATTTGCAAAAAGGCATGCGGGTGCCCCTCAAAGGCACCTTCTCTTCAGGGACAGGCCCCCTTGCTCGTGACCCCACCACCACCCCGTTCCCCTGCTCCCCCAGATGCGCCAGCCCCACTGGGGAGCATTCCTGTCACTTAGGTCTGGAAACCGTCCAGGGCCCCTGGTGAGCAGGGGTTTGCCCCAACACAGCCGTACATGGCTCCAAACCCACCCTGAGGGCGACAATAATAATATGCTGGCCGTGGAAAGCCTTGTTGAGAGTGAGTCAGAACTTCTTCTGGACCCTCGAATACACGTATTAATCTGTAATCTGTAAACTAAAACCCCCACCCCACCCCTACTTCCAGCCACATTGCTGCCCCCAAGATCCTTGGTCTGGAGGGGCTTGGGGTTGGAACTCGCCAGAGATGAGGGGGCAGGAGGCGAGGTTACGGCGGGAGGGACGCTGAGGCTCAAGCGGGGAGTCAGAGTCTGTCCGGGGGATGGACCTGGAGGCCAGGCGGGGTGCGGAGGGCAGGGTGTCCCCACAGGGCCAGGTAAGGTGCACCCTCCCAGGCGTGGTTCCCCGGCACGTGGACTCCCATGAGGCGGGACTGTCTGCCCATTTACTGCGCAAACAGCACCTCCCCTGCCCCACAGGTGTTTGCTGCCCGGCCTCGCTCACTAGCGAGATGCAGGGTTCTCCCCGGGAGGCCGAGCGCAGGGCCGGCAGGGGCAGGAAGGGTGAGGCCAGGCAGAGTGAGGGGAGGCTTGGGGCCCCAGGCCACCGCAGGCCCCACACACGGGGTCCCTGCCTCCTCAGGCTTGTCGGGCTCAGGGGCAAACCGAGTGCTCCCGGGGACTCGGCAAACGGCTGCAGGAGCATTGGGGCTATTCACTTCCCTGGCTCTGGCTGCCCAGGCCAGCAGCGGCAACAGGCGGGCCTCATGACGGTAACTCAAAGCACTGATTTCTGCATCAAAGGGAAAGGCCTGGACTCGTGAAGCAGCTCATATTTCAGAAGAAGATGCATCCCTCCTTTTTAATATTCTCATCTATTCACAAAGCAGGAAAAAAAGGGGCAATTTTCACCTAAGGGAGATTCTCTTGATGCCCGAAGATCACACTGGGTTTCTAAATTAACTCTGAGTCCCTACAAAAATGAAGTGAATTCATGCTGTAGCACTGAGACTTCATTGTCTATGGGACCTTACATGTCAACAGACAGCAAATTAAACGAGATACGGACCCCACGCGACGCTCGTTGTGGGCAGGTGTGCGCCAAAGTCAGTCACAAAATCTGGAGGAACAAAAGCCCACCTTGCGTCTCTCCAGGTTTTTCAAATGGTATCCTGGTTGAGAACGATTCTAGACAGGCTTTGAGGAAGACGGGGCATGTGTGGGGACCGCCCTGGCCGGGCCGGAAGGACACCTCTCTCTCCCTGAACTGACCGGGGAGGTAAAGGACTCCAGCCGCACGGGCAGCCTCTCTCCGTGCGCCGAGCGCTGGTCCCATGTCCAGTGGCGGGGCCCCCGAGGGCCACGCAGGGCCACCCTCATTCACTCCTCCTGCCCCCGCCCCCGTCTCCTCTCTGAGCACGGAGATGTGGGAGTTACGTCCTCCTTCCAGGAGCCGGGAGGTGCTGGAGGACCGCCTCGGCTCCCCAGTCCCTGCAAGGCTGCTGGAGCCAGCTCAGCCACGAGAGCCCACTGTCGTCAGGCAATTCTGAGAGCAGACTGCTAAACGCAGTTGTTATTAAGAGTCAAATAACATACACTAAATAAGTTATATTAAAAATAAAGGCAAGAAAGACTCAAAGCCCACCACTCCCTGACTATTGTACTATTATGTTTGGTCTTGTGTCATATGCGAGAGGATGCACAAGATGCTGAGCGACTGCAGGCCCGGCCCCAAATCTGCGCTCAGGGCCTTCACGCCAGCCACGCGAAACTGGCCGCAGGGATGCTGTTTACAGCACGGAAATCGGCCGATGCTACAAATCCATGCCTTCGTACTGGCACACGTCAGAGTCCCACGGGTCAAGTCCCCAAGACTAGAAGTAACGTGTGTGTCGTCTCACTCGGGACGAAGTGAGCCCACGAGGGCAGGAGCCCAACAGGCGTGTGTGTGGAGGCGGGAGGCGTGCAGACAGGGCCGCCCCCCAAGCTGCCCCTCGTGGCGGTGTCCCACCCTCTCCCCGTCCCACCACGACAGGGACAGCCGCCTCGCATCCGCCCCGCCGCGCCCCTCGCCTTCCTCTGAGCCTCCAGCCTCACCTCCCTCCTGTTCCCGCATCTGCCCAAAACCGACCACGCAGTCATCACACGGCTGGTCCTCCTCACCTTACAAGGGAAACCCCTGCACCCAGCATCCCTCCACTGGTGCTTACATGCTTCCTTTCTAACCCAGATTCCCCGGGGTAACTATGTGCGCTCACCCCCCGCCACCGCCGAGGGCGTCTGGCTTCCGCCCGCCCCGCTTGGGCAAGCTCATCCCCACGGAGGCCGACACGTCACCGGTGGGTCCCGTGGGGCTGCCCACTCTTCCTGCTCACCCTGTCTGCCCCCCCCACCTGGGGCACCGCATCACAGGGGTGCTCGCAGGACAAACAGGCAGAGAGGTGGGCAGGTGGACGGAGGCACCCCGGCATCTGTGCGGGGACGTTTGTGAAGCAGACGGGGAGCAGGTAACGGGTGCCGGCAGGGGCTGCTGAGGACAGTTGTTAGTGAATAACCAGAAACTCACAGCAGTCACTGCGGGGAAAAGGCAGGGAAGACACGGGGCCGTCCTGGACTCACCGACCATCCCCCTGATGAGATGCCACATGCTCAGCTTCTGTGCCCCCCACACGGCACACACAGGTGCATCCCATCAGCGAGCAGGAAATGCTGAGCGAACGGAACCTGCTCTGCGGCCATGGCGTCACACGTGAGGGGCACAGCACAGGGGCCCCAGTGGGACCCAGAAACTGAAGGCCTGCCTCCTTCCAACAACCCGCAGAGACGGCTTGGCAGACCCAGGGATGCAGCCTCTGCCAGGCCCTCACTCTGCCCTCGGCTGCCAAAGCTAAGGCCTATCTGTGCTGCCTGTAAACCGTAGGGACGCGTCCGAGCCAACTCTCACTACGGACTCTCTTCCCGAGGGACCACCCAAGGGTCTTACCCCAGATACTGCTAGGACCCACAAACCACGTCCACGTGAACTTTCTCTATGAACAGATGCAATTTTATTTGAGCAGCTGACCTCACCACCTAGCGCATGTGACTTTTATGTATTTAGATGAAAATAAATGAATAAACTTGTATCTTTAATTAAGGTAGAGGAAGCGCATCCATGAGACATATTTGTACTTCTCTTTGCAAATCCCCCTCGATATCCGTGAATAATGAAGGGGAGCAGGCTCTATCCAAAGATCTGAACGATCAACACAGCTCTATTATTTCCCTCCCAGAGATCAAAAGCAATACACAGGTGTCACTGTTTGGATCAAGGACACCCACGTAATATAAATTAGAGCCCCACAGATGTTCTGAGTACGATTCCATGAATAACAATTGGTATCATTTTACGTCAGTGGTGAGATGGTGTAAAGACAGGTTTCCAGCAAAACATGTTACAGAAAGCTTGAAATTTTTACAGTGGTTTAAAATGAGCCGTAAAACATCATGAACAACCTTCCTGGATTCCAGCCATTGGATAATTCCTCACATTTCCTTCGTATCCTTCCAGTTCCTCTTCCCAGCCCTCCGGCCTCAGCGTCTGGCGTCCCCCGCGGCCCCCAGGCAGCAGTGGGCCCGTCTGTGGGGAGCAGGGAGCGAGGCGACAGACTGCGGCAGTCAGGGATGCCCACTGAAGACAAGCGCCTCACTACAAAGAAGGTCAAGCCCTTCAACGGCCGGTGGTACAGTGTCTTGCAGGACAGCGTCTGTCTCTCTGGGAACCGTGAGAGGAATGCAGTGCTCTCGTCACAAGCGAAGCTCAGCCCTCATGCAGAGGTGGGAGATCCTCGAGCACTCTGCTCTCTTGCCACAGGCCACTCTCCTCCCCCATGAGGAGGATTCAGGGCTGTCACCCAGCCTGGTCCCCCACCCACCTGAAACACCATCTCGGCGGCCCCCTCTGGGATCCGAGGCTTTGTGACAGGTGGACGTGCTCAGCGTGTGAGGGCGGGACCCTGCCACGCATCACCTTGAGATGGCCCACCTGTCTCTGCACAAATTATGGGCACGCCCTGGGCCCTCTCCAAGATTCCGGAACACACTGCCGGGCTTGGCAGACGCCCACTGACGTGACACTCACATAACCACTCTGAGACATGAAGGGGCATTCAGCGGGCACCCAGAAGCAACGGACCTAAGTCCAGCCATGTGACAGGACAACAGACTTGGGAGCACGGGAGGCTCTCCACCAGCACCTGTCGGTGGCCCTGCTCTGCAGAGAAGAGAACGGGAGAGGGAGGCCTGGCCAGCAGGTGCCTGTACCCGACAGGAGGACTGTGAGGCCCCTCCGCCCACAGTCAGGAGGGTAACTGCAGGGTGGCACCGGGCACACTTGGAGAGTGAGCAGAAACCGCACAGGCTGGGTGGCTGGCTAGGCCAGACCCAGGACACAGAGAGCATGGACAGAGGCCCCAGCTACAGAGGCAGACCTGGTTTCCTAAGTAAGTCAAGGGGACTGTCCAAGGTGAACCGGCAGCTTGGCGACATCACTGTCATTAAACTCCTGTCAAAGATGTGGGACCTGCGGCTTGAGAAGCCTATGCTCTGGGAGGCACGCTGCCCGACTTAGCCCAGCTATCCAAGTCAGCATCCTTGAAGGCTTCGTTCAGAACGCGGGTGGCTCCCTCCACTGCCTGACCAAGGTCACGCACGGCTCCGTTTGGAAGCAGCGCCTGGGGCGTCCTGGGCAGCGGGAGGTCAGAGGTGCCCAAAGCCGGGAAGCCAAACAGAGCATCCTGCATCACAGCGAACTCTTTGCTGCCTGTGGATGGGGAAAGACATCCCAGAGCCTCGGAGTGGGGACACACGGGCTAAATTTTTTCTCCCTAAAAATAATTTTGACATTAAACTTAGCACAAAACAAAATCTGGTCTCTTTTGTTAGGAACAGAGTCCTCAGTCACCAGGAAAATTCTTGGATCATCAAAGTCTTTTGAAAAAGTGAAGTCATTTCTCTGTAGATTCTGCAGAAATCTGTCTTGAAGATAAAAGCCAGTCCTGGTGGCCCAGTCGGGGAGAGTCAGTCCCTTGTGGGTGAACTGGTCTCGCACCAAAAACCAAACCAAACCGCGAGGTTCCCCACGGTGGGCAACCCGGGATGCCCCAGTGCTGTGGGTCTGCTGCCTCCAGACGCAGGCGGCAATTGAGCAAGAATCAAGAGACCACCCAGTCCCGCCCCTCCCGCCGAAGAAGAGCTCAGAGAGCCCAGTCGTGAGGATGGGGGCTCCCCCATTACTGCAGGATACGAGATATGGGGAAAAGGTGGAAAGCAGAAAAGAAACAACTAGCGATACCCCAGCAGTGACAGACAACAGCGGCCGGCCACCGTCTGCTCCTCCAGTACTCAGACCTCACTGGGCGGCGGCGTGCTTGCAATCCCTACGGCACGCGGTGCGCAGAGCCTTCAGGGCCCGTGGAGCTCAGGTCTTAGAGCGATCCATCGGCACAGTCCCCTGCTGCTGGGCATCCAGGATGTTCCCACCTGAGAGCTACTGAGAATGATGGACCCCATGATGTCCTCACACAAAAGCTCTGTACCCGGATGTGCTCTCCTACGTGGGCCACAGAGCCTACTCATGGTAGAGAGTAAATGAGACAGGGTGGGATCTCCCGATGGGCCACACCATATGCACCGGGCCCCCAAAACGGTATGTCCATGTCCTCACAGCCAGAACCTGCAAAAGTGCGCTTACGTGTGGGCACTCAGCTAAGCACGAAGGAGGATTCCAGTTGGCTCCGAATGCAGCCACGTGTACCCTTGTAAGGGGGGGGGGGGCAACAAGGAGGTGATGTGTCTACACAAGGAACACCAGGGAAGGCCGGCCAGCAGCCACCTGAAGATCAGAGAGAGGCCTGGTCCAGCTTCCCCAGAGCCTCCGGACAAAGCACAGTCCTGCCCACACCTTGACCTCAAACTCTGGTCTCCGGGACCTTGAGAAAATTCGTGACTATTATTTCAAGCCCCCGGTTTGTGGTGTGTGCCGCCGTGGCCCCAGGAGACCAGTACAACCAGGTAAGAGGTGGTGCTCCCTTAGCCCAACTTGTGTGGTCTTTGGAAAATTACAGAACCAGATAAAGTCATAGTAAAATCAATCCCCACAACGCAACCACCAATATCCCCCTGGTGAAGACTGAGCGTCAGGACAGAGACGGAGACATTTCATGGCGTCCGTGACAGTCAACCTTCAGCACCACAAACTGAGTGCACCAAAGAGCACTCCGATTTCTCTTCAGAAAGATGAAACAGAGCAGATGCACCACTGCGTGAGACAAGGAGAGGCTGGCCGCTAACAGCACTGTCCCGGCCCACTTTCCTGAATGCGGGGTCTGCTTTTCCCCCTGTGGGACGCCCGTCCCCACGCTCTCCCACGGGTGAACGCAGTCTCCTGGAAGGAGGGGAAACCAAAGCAGTGCTCTCTGCCTTTGCTTCTAAGAATCAAATTTGAGGGGCACATAAAAATCTAAATCTTCTGGAACTAATGTTCCTTTAGATATGGTTTCTAATTTTAAGTACCTGAGCTTGATTATTGATCGCAATGTGTCTTTAAATGAACAGATTAAAACTTTCTCCATAAAAATGAACTGTAAAAAATTATAGCTCTTCTCCGGAGAGTAAGGCACTGTCTGACTTCTAAACTTGGAAGTCTGGTGGGCCCCACAGGAGATGATACCTTGGTCCACGGAAAGCAAAGGAATCGGTGAAGTGGCCACGTGAGGCAAGGCCACAGACATCTCATGAACGGTACGGTGTCGGCCGAACATGTTGGGGGTCCGATGACGGGACCAAGGGGAAGGAGACCGTGTCTGGGGACTTGAGAAGAGATGGTCTGGAGTGCAGGTCTGGGCAGAAAGAGCCCGTGGGGCACACACAGCGGCCGGAGCTTTACCTTACGGTTTCCATCTTCACCAAAGGAATGAAAGGCATTCCCTAGAGTAACTTTGTGTGATGTTTGTCCCCCAGGAACCAAGAGGCCAAATGCAGCCCCTCTTGGGAGAGCCATGGGGCCGAGAGCTCTGAGAGTCAGCCAGAGCCCGGAGCTGGCAATGGGGGGACTTCCACTGGAAACCCCACGCACCCTAGAAATGGCAGCCCCCACGTGCAGGATACAGACCGTTACACTGTAACAGTCTGTCAGGGGCAGATGCAACCAGAAACGTCGGGCCAAGAGAGGGCACTTCCCAGGTAGGCTTCGGAGAACAGAGATGAGACAGTGTGTTAAGTGGAAGTAATTTCTTTCAGCTGAAAATAACCAGAAGTAGCAGGACATCGTCCTGACCCCAACCCAACTGCCAGGGCACCTGTGCCCCCAGCTTCTACAGTCACTGCCGACGTCCAGCGGACTCTGATCGCCATGACATACACGGACGTCCCGAGGAGTTACCCGTAGCCAAAGGTCACCTCAGAGAAGGCAGTGGACTCCACGAGTCGTCCACTGTATGTAACAACTGTCCCAAAATGTAGGGGCCTGAAACAAACCACGTGTTCTGCGTGCACACCTTCTGTGTGTGCGGGCTTGATCAGGAGTCTCATTTAAGCTCCGCACGGCGCCCGCTCAGGCAGCCCCTGGGGCCCGGGGCCACTTTCTGGACGGCACGCTCACACGGCTGGCCAGTTGGGTGTCGACTGTCAGCTAGGAGCTCAGCCAAGCCGTGCGCTGAGACCAGGTTTCCCTTCATGGACTGATTGGCTGGGATCCCAAACGAGGTGGCAGCATGAGCGAGGGCAGAGGGACAGCACACGTGGTTTCCACGGCAGTGGTGAGCACCCCACCTCGACTGCCCCACGGCCTCTGAGGCGAGTGAGCAGAGGGGGCCAGCAGGAGAGCAGTCGGGGGAGTGAGCGGTGCGGACGAAGAAGGTGACCGCGCCCCCCGTGGTCAGGCAGGCTGCGGGCGGTCGTATCCACACTCTTCTGCAAACAGACCGTAATTTATTCAACCAAAACCTAGTAAGAGGCCATTAGATGATTTCAGGCTTTTCATTTTGTTTTGCTCACTTTGTAACAGCAAACAATCCTCTAGTGACTCTGCTTGTACATATATCCTGCCATTTGACTGAGAGTCTATCTTTCAGATCTCACTCAGTAAAATTACTGAGTAAAAGGGTTAATGGTCTGGTCCTTCTCTTTTGTTTGGAGGGGCCCCATCAGCAGACTGGAAATGGGATGGGCCATTTGTGTGGGAATGTCTCTGACTTGGCATGATTACCCATCTTGGTCAAAAGGTGGGAGAAGAAGGTTTGAGACTTGGGATAGGCTATACAGGGGGAGGTGTCAACCCCCAGGAGATAAAATCCTCTCCTGCAGACCTTTGAAATGACTGCAGAAGCAGATACTACTATTATGGCCACACACTCAGCACGGAGACCCACCGTTCTAAGTTTAGCAGCATGAGAATCACCTGGAAGGCTTGTTGAAACGCCCTCTGCCAGCCCTGAGTTTCTGACTCAGTAGGTCTGAGGTGGGGCCCAGACTGTGCATCTCTATCAAGTCCCAGGTGATGCAGATACAGCTGGTCCGGGCACCACACTTTGAGGACACTGCTGTAGACTGTTGTCCAGGGTAGCAGCAAAGTGGTCAAAGGGAATGCAGCTAACTGGTGTCAGGATTGGGATTTGACTTGAGTTTCTGACTCCAAAATCTGTGCCGACTGCCTTACGGCAGAAGGTTCTCACCCTGGCTCACATCGAATCACTTGCGGCATTGGAAAGGTGGATACCAGGCTGCACCCTGGACCCATGACATCAGAGTCTGGGGGGACCTGGCACCAAAAGATTCTCAGAGCCCCCCACATGACCCCAGTGTGCACCAAAGCTGGAAACCACTCCTAGGCTGCAACGCTGGAGTCATTCCGGCAGGATGGGGAACACTGGTTCTCTATCATGCTTCCTGCCCCCCAGTTTGGACTTCACAGATGGAGCAGTCTGGGGATTTATCCCAGTTGGGTATGGCTATACTTTCAGATAATGGGCAAATTTTCCTACAGATGAAGAAAAAAGTGAAGTAAGTATGTATCCCCACCCACTTTATGGAGATGTAACTGACATAGAGTATTATGTAAGTTTGTGTAGAAAGTGTTGCTGATACATTTACATATTGCAACATGATTACCACCGAAGCTTTAGCTAACACCACCAGCAGGTCACATAGTTACCATTTCTTTTTCGTGGTGAGAACCTTCAAGATCTACTCCTAGCAATTTCCAAGTATATAATACAGTATTATTAAATATAGTCTCCATGCTATAATTTGATACCCAAACTAATCTTTCTTATAATTGAAAATTCGTATGCTTTAGCCAACATCTCCCTAGTTCCCCCACGCCCTTCAGCCCCTGGTAACCACCACTCTACTCTGTTTCTATGAGTTCAGCTTTTCTATATTTCACTTAGAAGTGAGATCATACAGTATTTGTCTCTGTCTGACTTATTTCACTTAGGATAATACCTTCAAGATTCATCCAAGTTATCACCTGGAATCAGGTCTTACATTCAAGTCTTTAATCCATTTCAAGTTTATTTTTGTGTATGGTGTGAGAAAGAGGTCCAGTTTCATTCTTCTGCATGTGGCTGTCCAGTTTTCCCAACACCATTTGTTGAAGAGACTATCCTTACCCCACTGTATATTCTTAGATCCGTTGTTGTACATTAATTGACCATATAAGCACGGGTTTGTTTCTGGGCTCTAGTCTGTTCCATTGATCTAGTGTCTGTTTCTATGCCAAGTAAGTATATATTTTGATGGCACTTGAAGACTGTACCATAGACTTCACTGTAATTTAGGAGAGTTACATCACCCTGAAGGGCCACATCAAGGTGGCAAAAACAATAGACAAGAATCCCAACTGTCCAAAACATAATGGAAATCGCTGTCCCTGTCTTATGTGCCAGGGGCACACTGGTAGTGGCCATCTGAGGTAGGGCTCACCCCGTGACTATTTCTGCTCATCCTGAGAGGCCAAGATTCAAACTGAGCAAGGAGATTGCCTCTCTTGGTTAAAGAAAGGCAGCTTTTCTCCAAGATCTCTCCTCTACGTATCTTTGGTATTTCTGTGATTGACAAACAGACAGAAATATATTTATTAAGGGATTATCTATATTGAAAACCAGACATGGGATTTTTTTTTCCCTCTGTCAACATTGCAGAAATATCAGCTGTTTGAACAAAAGGAGAGAGGTATTTTCATTCAATCCAGAACACTGAAAATTCCCCAGTTTATATTCAGGAAGACATTTGGTTTTATTGATCATGTTAGCTGAATAAGTTTAAACTCCTATAGCCAGACAAGGAGAAGGTTGATTTTCTCTTTATTATAAAGGTTATTAAGAGGAAGCCAGATATAGAAGTTATTTGTTTTTAGACAATCCCACAGAATCAGAACCACTCAAATACATTCCAGAAGTTTTGTTCAAAGCCAACACCTGAATGGCCTAAAGAACAGTGCTGTCTCTTCTAGGAATACTAATTTTATTGTTCAAGACTTGGCATACTTCGGGCGAGTGCTTTGTTATCGATGGCGGAAATGTCCATTTCTCTGCTTTTAAGTCACACTTCACTAATGGTCAGAGATAGAACAGATGCACCGGGGCTGCCTGCATCGCAGAGCCCTTGGCCACTGATGGTAACTTAGCATCGTCCCTGCAGACTGACTGTGTCAGTGACTTTCGCTGCAAGAGCACCTGTGTTCATCCACACATGCAAACACAAGGAAGCCCGCACGTGTGCCAGGAATCAAGTGTGCACTTAACAACCAATACCAAACACTTTCATAGCGAAAGAGACTTACCGCTAACTTGCTCTTTCTCTTTTTCTTGGTGTAATTTCCCAGTTTCTTCAAATCCAACAAGGAGGTATCCAAAATACTAGAGGAAGTGACTTTGTGGGGTTTTTCTTCACTTTTTAGTGCTGCCTGGAAATACTGGTCTCATATTTAAGGGAAGGAACCCAATCCCTCAATCACCACTCAAAAACATCGGCGTTCCTTCCACAAAAAGCTCACATACCAAAAAAGTCCTCTCCGCGATTTTGTTGAAATTCTGTACTTCATCATCGAGAAGTGAGGGACAGGCAGCCTCCTGAGCGCCTCAGTTGGCCTGTCAGCTGATACCGTCGGGTACGAGTGAAAGTCTGGGTGGGGCGTATCACCAAGTGACGGGTCCCTACAACCAGTGAGAAGTTCTTGTGTTGCTTTCAGCAAGTCCACTCCTTCAAAACTTTTTGACATTTACTTTGGTAAAATCAAATATATATATACATATAAATCTCCAAAGGACAGCAGTTTCAGCCCTTTCTGAAAGAAATGATGTGACTTACAGAAATGACCGTAATTATTTTTTAAGTGAAGTTATGCAAATCTGATAGACTAAAGTAAATGTTTCATAAAACCAATGACTGTTTAAATTGTAGGACTAAATTGTTTGTATATAAATATTACCTTTTATATTCCATTTGAGTTTTATGTAGATGAACACATTACTTTAATGACCTGCGTTTGTGGAGAGAGTGGAGACTCGCTCTCTCGATTCTCGCCCGCCAGATGGTTGCCTTTTCTTGCATGAGATTAAAACATGTCTCCCATTCACTGCAATGCTTCTGAGGCAAATTAATATCACCAGCTAAATTGCTTGTGTTTTCGGAATAAAATTTAAAGAGAACTTTTTAAAGCAATTGGTGTTGCAGGTTCCCAGAGCAGATTGCTCTCCAGGTAGGGCATGCTGGTTTTAAACATTCAGTAATTAATGGAAAGGATTCTGTGTTAATTGACTGCTTCAGGAAAGGGAAATATGATTCCTTATTAATCATGAAAAGAAATGTACGGCATGGAAGCACCACAATGATTGCCCTAACAGTGGAGAAACGTTAATTAATGAAAAGAACAATGATGTAGGAAATTAGCTGCATAATGTTCGCTGCTGATGGAGGCTGGGTTTTTAAACACGTTATTTACAGTGGGGGGAAACCACGAAATGTTGCCTCAAACAGATGCATGTAACCTTGTACCACCCAAGTTTAGGGGGAAAAACAATCTTAAAATGCTGCTGTCATCTTTGCTTGCAGAAGCAAAAACACTTGCCCAGGGCTCTATTTCTTTCAGAGAAGGACGGCCTTGTCCTTCATGTCGGATCTGGGTTTCTAAAATCAAAATCTTCCTCGGAGCAAAACAGGGTCACTTATTAATGTCATTTAATGACACAGCAGGTCATTCTGACTGCTGAGGACAAAAGAAGAAGAAAGTATTCTTCCCCAAAGTGAAATAAACTCCATCTCTGATATTTCCCAGCTAACATAAAGGAAAATTCAGATTCGCTTTGGGGACAGAGTGCCTTTTTTTTTTTTTTTTAATTTCAAGTCCCTGCGAGAATATATAGCTTCCACTCCATCTAAAAAGTCATCTTCCAGAAAAGGAAATGCAGGGCCCCCCATCAGCAGCGTGCACGGCAGTTAGGGGCTCAGAACCGGAGCTGCCCGAGCTGGTGGCCTCTCTGCTGGGTCGGGCGGCACAGGCATGGGGCAGGAAGACAGGCACGGGGGCTGCGCACAGCCCGCCCCCAGGTGGGTGGGGAGGGAGGCCGCTCGGGGGGGCCCACCCACACAGGTGAGCCCCGCACTGACCCCCTCTCCTTGCAGGTGGAACGTGCTGGGACTGCAGGGTGCGCTGCTCTGCCACTTCATTGAGCCTGTGTACCTGCACAGCATCATCGTGGGCAGTCTGCACCACACCGGCCACCTCTCCCGGGTCATGAGCCTCCGGACCGAGGACATCGGCCAGCTGCCAGCCTCGTACCGACACAACCAGCCCCTCCTCAGCGGTAAGAAAACTCCGTCCCCATAGACACGCGACCAGTGCCCTCCCATCGGCCGCCCCATGCGTCCTAACTCCGGCAGATCTTACCCATGTTGGCCGCTGGCTTAAATATTTACGATTTAGCGAGCAAAATTACAATAACACAAAACTTTAAAAGAGAGGAAGGTTACCGTGCATCCTGAATGTAGGAATGGGCAGCATTCTGAGGTGGACGCTGAATAGGACACAGCACACAACCGAGTCACACTGAGCTGACTGAGGGAATCATCACAGGCGGGCCCAAAAGGACGACATACCCGTCCCGCTCTGCTCTGCGGGCAGCGCCTCTGACGGAAGGCAGCTGGGTCGGAAGCAGTAACACGGAGGGTGGACAGTGCCGGCCCACAGGCTGCCCTGAGTGCTTGCAGGACACTCGGGATCTCTGTGCCCCCTCGCACAAGGCATTCAGAAGCACATCTCAGAGGCAACAAGGCAATCCAGCAAGCACTGAGCATCTACCCTACTTCCCACGCCGCCTGTGTCCGTAGCACCAGACCTCCGGAGCCTCAGTGTCCCCATGGCAAAATGGGGACGGCCAAGCCCTAGGCTGCCCGGCACACAGCCGGTTGTAAGGATCAAGAGTCACATGGCCATGAAGCACTCTGGAATCCATCACATTCTGTATACTGGGAAGGATCGAGTCCTGATCTGGGCATTTTGGAGGGGGATGCCCCTGGTGACCACTGGTCTCCACATCACAGACCCTTTCCTGGTTCCTGAGAATGAGCTTCACCAGAGGCCCGGAGGAAACAGCGCGTGCAGAGGGGGACTCCCATGCTTAGGCAGGACAGCATCCTGAAGGGACTGCCGGAGGCCACCCCGCAACCCCAGGCAGATGTCTTCAGGAAGCGGGAATAGCTCTCCTGGGAAGGAGCAGGGCTGGCTGGCTTCAGTCTTGGGCCATATCACCTGAGAGAGAAATAGGAAAATAAAGGAGGTGTTCAGTGTTGTGGCTCAGACTCGGGCCTAAGATTTATTCCCAGGATTCTCAAATTGTTCTAAATTATAAAATCAGGGTGATAATAGTGCCCCATGGGGGTGGGAGTGAGAACAACGGAGCAAGTGTTGAGGAAGACACCTCCACATCTATTCCCTTTGTCTCTGAGACTCACCGACTCTCTGCTGCTCTGGGAACAACCTGTGGGCTTGGGGACGGCGCAGGACCCTCCCCAGCTGGGCTGGCTGACCACCCAGGTCCCCACTTTATTACACCGCAGGCCTTCCTTTATATGTGAGAGCCTGTGCCCAAGATCCTAGACCCCGTGCCGACACCTCTCTGCTGCCATGGGAGTATGCATGGCCCTCAGGCAGCAGGTCCGAGATCAACTGTGTCAGCCTGTGTCACCCGTCCTCACATCCCTGGGACCATGTTAGAGTCCAGGGGCTTCGTGTGTCCAGTGAGGGGACTTAGGGTCAAAGTCAGCGCACCTCAGTGAGGCCATTGGAGACAAGGTCACAGATTCTGTCCAGAAACACCAAACAGCACCATCTTTTAGAATTTCACTTGCGCTACCGTCCCCAGGCCTGCTCGGTAGTGGAAGGGGTCAGTTCTTCGCCAACGTCCCAGGGGCTAAGAAAACAACATCAGCAAGGCAGGATTTCCTCACCACCATCCTTGCTCAAAAGGCTGCCTTTGGATGCAGCCCACCGCCGGGCCCAGCGTTGCAGGGTCCCTGGCCCCGAACCACAACCGACCCTGGACGATGGTGGGCCTGCAGGTGGTCATGCTGGGCGGCGAGCACCCAAGGGGCCTGGTCTGCATGGCGCAGGGAGGACACAGCACCCGACCTCTTGCTGAGAGTGACTATGTCAGCTACGGAAGGGAAGGTCCTTCTCAGCGTCACGAAGATGGCGTCCCACCAACCAACAATCTCCATGTTACAGATGTGGGAACAGACTCCTCGAAACTATGGACGTGGGGCAAGGATTTGAACTCAGCTCGATGACACAGCTAAGCCCTTTCAACACCCCACACTGCATCCCATGGCCTGTAGCACCATTTAACAGATGTCCATATTTTTAATCCCATAAAGATTAATAATGCAAAACAAGACTAGCCGAAGAGGTGATAGAATCTAACTCATGATGGATGGTGTAGGAGAGGCAAACCGACCCAGTGGGGCCAGCCGGGGACACTCACTGCCAGCTCACCAAGGGCACAGGAGAGGCGCAAACATTTGCCTCAAATTCAGTCTATAAAATTACATTTATTTATTAAACAGTTGGTAATTTTAGGAATTCTGATAAAATATCACTTTGGCTCAATTTCAAGCTCTTTCATTTTTCCTTTTTTTCTCAAAATGGCAAAGAATACCTTTTTTAAGATTTTATTTTTTTTATTTATTTATTGGACACAGAGAGAGAGAGAGAGAGAGAGAGCACAAGCAGGGGGAGGGGCAGAGGGAGAGGCAGACTCCCCGCTGAGCAGGGAGCCCGATGCGGAACTCCATCCCAGGACCGAGATCATGACCTGGGTCAAAGGCAGACACTTCACCGACTGAGCCACCCAAGCGTCCCAAGAACACTTACTTCTTACAGCTGAACAGCCGGCACAGCTCTGGAGCAGACCCCAAAGTCCTAGAACTACTGGTTTGGTGCTAAATCAAATGTTCCCAACTCAGGTGCCCCACAAACCTCACTGAGGTTCTTCAGTCTCTACATTAAACTTACGAGAATTCTCATCTGTTCTCACCTTTCCCATGAGGGGGCTGGTTTTCATCCAGCCTTTGGGTGCCACGCAGAATAGCCATCCATTCTTGCAAAGCTTTTTAAAAATTTTATGTTCAATTGGGAACATGTAAACACAGATAAAAACAGGAATTTTGAATTATAAGTGTAAAAGCAGTGAATTAAAAAAAAACTCAATTAGAGAAATTCAGAACACCTGAAATCATCGAGTGGCGTACCTGATGGCAAAGTGCCTGAGACTCCCAAGTGAACCCCCACCTGGGTGGCACGCACCCCTACTTACAACCAGGACAAACTGACTAGACATTTCAGTCCATACTGAAAATACAGCTCATGTTATAGTGCAGAGATACAATAAGCCTAAACCGTGGCATCGCACCGGCACACGCTTAGCTGCAAGAACTGCTCTGCTTTTGATGGATATTTAAAAGCCAATCATGCAAATTTTGAAAGGAAATCATCAGGATTTTTTTGCAACAAAAGAGAGACGGAGAGATCTTGTATAAGGAGAGTAATGAAAAGCACACTCAAACAAGCCCATGAAATCTGCTTGAAGATTCCCTCAAGGTCAGTTTGCAAAATTGCCTGAGAAGATGAAGCCCACGTACTCGCAGAAAGTCCCGCCGTTTAGCTGGGGCTCAATCAGCTCTGGGTTAATAAGAAGCAGCCGAGCTGAAAAAGATACCCTACTGACATGGTTGTAGGATGCATATTAATGTCCTCCAAAGATATCTTGAAGCATTCTGCACAGACCAGCCTACACCTCTGGGCGGAACGTGAGGACGGACACCCACACTGCGGCTGCTGTACGCCCCGATCCCTTTGGCGCGTCACATCACTGGATGAGAGCAGCTCCCCTAAAGGAACTTGCCTTCAGCCTTTCTTGGCATATTGGATACAACAAGAAAAAGGTGATGATGATAATAAAAATCTATGCTCCGAATACTCATCTTGTTAGAAAACCATTAAGTGGAGTAGAAAGTGACTTTGAGGCTACTCTGCTGGGCAGAGGGTCTGGTTTGTCTGTGCTTCCAACCTCAAGGTAAGTTTCATTCTTCTTCATCAGGAAAATGAGAAATCTGGGTGGGATACGCAAGTTCTTTGTTCCTACTAGCGGCGTATTTACTGGATCTGGTGTTCAGCGCTGAAGTCTTAGCTCACACTGAAGATAAAACTTTACAGCCCATGGCAAGGTCCTGGCAATGAACGCGAAATCCGAGAGATGGACCCAGGGGATCGGATGTTAGAGCCCTGAGTTGGCTCAGACCCTGGTTTACATCTGCGTGATGGGCATCACAGGATCGTGACAAGCAGAGCATCGGCTGTCTCCCTCCCCAGCGTGCATCTCCCTGAAGGAGTAACGTGGGCCACTGGTGGGTCAGAGCCTCTTCGGACTCCATGTTTCTCAAGCAGCTGAGTTCATCAAAATGTCCTGCCCAACACCACCTACTTCCTGCACTCTAGACCGCTCTCCTCAGGGAGTGGTAGTGGGTGGGATGGAGAAGGTCTGTCGCCATGCATATCCACATTTTTGTGACTTCCAATCTCCAAAGTATTGTCACATTAAACTGTAGAATCCGATATGGAGAGCCAAGCCTCTTTAATTCAGGAGAAATTTCTGAAGTTAATGATCATTAATAGTATCTTGCAAAACAACCCAGTGGGGTAGTAGCAAACATTGTTTTTATGCAGATGGTAACTAATATGCAAAATTATTTTTATATTAAAATAAGCCCTGGGGCGCCTGGGTGGCTCAGTCCATTAAGCGTCTGCCTTCAGCTCAGGTCATGATCTCAGGGTCCTGGGATCGAGTCCCACATCAGGCTCCTTGCTCAGGGGGGAGTCTGCTTCTCCCTCTCCTTCTGCCCCCAGCCCCTGCTCATGTGCTCTCTCACTATCTCTCTCTCTCTCAAATAAATAAAATCTTTAAAAAAATAAAATAAGCACAGGTTTATTATGGAATAACCTATAAATTTTTCACAAATGTTTAGGATAAAACACATGAGCTCAAAAATATATCTGAGCAGCTCCTTTGTCTTAGAGTTCTTAGAAGTAGAAATTTATCTCTCGTGCACTTGAAGGAATTTTTGGTAGAAAAAAATGATTATAAATCTTGCTGGAATAATCTAAAAGCAATCCTAATATCTGCATGAAGACCAAAATGCTAAATTCAACAAAGAAATATTTAATAAGACATTTTCATAGATTAGCACTGACTTCCCTATGCAAATTAGATGGCTTACGATAAATTTAAAATTATAGAAAAACCTTGTTTTC